CGGGTACAGCGGATGCAGTATACCACATTGGCAGATGTGCAGGTGAACATCTGCTTGATGTGGAAAGTCTTCTTGGGGCCTGGGATGGGGGTGAGGGAGGAGGTATGGGGGCAGGTGTAGCACTTCCTGCGGTTGCAGGGAAAAGTGCCGGGTGTGGTGGGGCTGGAGGGGAGTGTGGAGCGGCCAAGGGAGTCACGGAGAGAGTGGTCCCTCCGGAAAGCAGATAAGGGTGGGGAGGGAAAGATGTCTTTGGTGGTGGGGTCGGATTGCAGATGGCGGAAGTGTCGGAGGATGATGCGTTGGATCCGGAGGTTGGTGGGGTGGTACGTGAGGACGAGGAGGATTCTTTTTTGGTTGTTATTGCGGGGACGGGGTGTGAGGGATGAGTTGCGGGAAATGTGGGAGACACGGTTGAAGGCGCTCTCGACCACTGAGGGGGGGATGTTGCGGTCCTTGAAAAACGAGGACATCTACTCTTGCTTCTGTTTCTACACTCTATGCTCCCTTATACATTTTCACAATCACAATATACCAAGTATTAACTTAATTACGTTTAAACATATGCTTGCTGCTCTCGAAGCAGGCATCCCAATCCTGAATATATGATTATCTCACATCTGACAGACCCTATGGTCAATTACAACAGATCATAAATGGTGGAATCAGAGACCAATGACCAAACTTATAAGGTCAGATTCTGTAATTCCACAATATGAAGATTGATCTTTACCAACATAATGCATTACCTTTCACACTCGTAGCTTTTGGGGTTCTGTGGGATGTCCAGATTGAAGATTCTCCCCACCCCACCCTGGTCGCTGCAGAAATGCGTACAAGATATGTGCTGTCAGGCTCCACATCTTCAAGCAGATGTTCTGATATGGTTCCTGGAAGCTCCACAAGGTGGACAGCACTTTCTGTGCTCTTACGGTAATAAATACGATATGCAATAATACGCCCTCTTCTGAATTTGACTGGAATGGGAAGCCATGAAATCAGGATGTTGGTTGGGCTGCGACTGGTCAAGCTGATTTCTGGTACTCTCAAAGGCACTGAATAAGGAGAATTGAAAAGAAATATGTTAAATTAATCCCAGTAATCTTACTTTTCAACAACAGCAAAATTAGTAACAAAAGGACGTAACTTTTTCTCATAGGAATATTCAGCACAAAGTGCTATCAAAATTGTACGTAATACTGCCAACTATGAGATTAAACACTTATTTTATCAATGTGGATGGCACACCATTTAATGTATGGCTTCTAAAATGGTTTCTTCATTTTGTATATATATTTATCTGTTACAGAGAAGTCAACTCAAAATTCATGGAGCCATATACATAGCAGCTGATGGGCAAACCGTTTTGAAGTGTTACACTTCAATTAAGTGGGTAGAATAAGACTCACCAAGATGTAACTAAAAATCAATATTCACAGTGAAATACTGAGCAGCTGGTGTATGTATTTCACAGCTGGTTTCAGAAAACCTGAGAAAAACTGATTGGGAACGAAGAAAATAACTTGCACATTTTTCCAACTGTGGTTGGAAAATAAATATGAATAGTATGGAACAGATTTGTCATCTAAAGTGGGAGGAGGAAATATGACTGATGCATGTAGAAAGCAGGTGATTTACATGAAAACTAAAAAAAAAACACACCATCTGCAACACCAATTCTCAAACACTAATTGTATCAGGTGATTCATTTAGTATAGTTACAGCTGCATTTATGCAACTGCAATGATACTAAAAGTAGAAATTTTTCAAATTTATAACAAAAAAGTGTTTAGGCACTTTCCAAAGGTGGTAAAGCTGAAGGAATCCTACATTTAAATGAACTTTTCCAGTAACCCAGTGGAGAAACAAACTAGGGGCACAACTTGAACAAATGTTTCACAAGTAGGAATGCTCATGAACCATTTATTGGCATTACATAATTTCTGCATCAAAGCCAAAGTTTAAATGCCACATCTCAGAGTTGCCTTTCCTACCGTCTTCCAAAGTGTGCTGAATAACATGCTCCGACATTCGACTAGCTCCCATGGGCATGTATGCCACAATATAAAATGTATAATTGCTGGCTGGTTCTAAATCATCAATAATGTAACGAGTTGTGTCATTCCCAATAACCACCTGATATTCTTCATTATTTAAACCTGGGGAAAGAAAAATCCTTTCTCAATACGTAAGCTTGGGATAATGGCTGCATTTCTTTAGAAGGTAGGCATGTAATGGAAAAGTAACAAAATATCTGAACATTTAGACTTTCAATCTCATTTTGGGGCAAATGAACTTTTTCTTCCATATCCATTGTGAAAGCAGTCACATAATTCATACTAAAAAGTTGGTCTTCCCATCATGAATTTTACCAGTAATTTTCTCCTTCAGCAAAACACTGCATTTTAAATCCCAGCCAAAAGCAAAATTATTCCCAATTGCATTTTCCCACATTCATGAATAAGCTTGATCACCACTTAATTTGCAAAACCTAAGAGGCCCATACACAAGTAGTAATTACCGGCTAATAAGGTATATCGAAAGTCCTGATTTCTGACCTAGAAAACAAAATCCTTGAAGGAAAATTAAAGAGTCTTGTTACCCTGCTGAATACTCCAACAGAACTCATGCTGGGGCTTAATGAAATAACTATAATGGAATACAAAGCAACCATTCGACTGCAATCTGCACCACACAGCCAACACGTTAATACCTTCAGAAAACTGGTGGTGCTGCCTGTACACACTTCACCACACACTTTAATTATACCTTCACGCATTTCTATACTCTCCGTTCTATGAACTCATAATAAACACCTTTCCCTTGAGAAGGTAAACCGTCTACCCAATTTTAATCATCTCAACAGATCACATTGTTTGTACAGAGAAGGCTGCTTTTCCCATTTCATTAGAGAGGCTATTCTGTCTTTGTGACCTCTGCCCAACAACAGAATATTAAGAACAGATGGTCAACTTCTCACATTCCAATTAGACGTTGGGAATGGAGAATGTCCAAACCCAGACAACAACAAAAAAGAATGATACTTGCAGATTAGCTTTAAAACAAGCTGCTTCATTTACATTTAAACAGCTGCTCCTTTAAAAGTTATAGCAAAGATGCACCTTGTAGGTTTATTGCATTAAAGATAGTCTCTCAGTCTCCATAAAGCTGTCTTTAAGATGAACAATTCTAGCTACCTGACCGATGATAAAACATATTTCAGCAGCACAAGCTTGAACTGTACGAATAAAATTCAGGGCTCACCTTCAGCTTTCATGTAATGGACCGAGTACGCAATTACTTTATCAGAATTGTACATGGGTCTTTCCCAAGACAGAAGAATCCCTGAACTGGACACAGTTTCAGCCTGGATATTTCTCGGTGCACTAGGCCTGTCCTCAGACATAATAACAATCAGCCTAGCCACTGAAAGAACAGATCCTTGTTGATTTTCAGCAACACACTGGTAAATTGCATCATCTTCTGGAATGATCTGGTTTATCACCAATTTGCTTCAAAAAACAAACAAATTTGACTAATTACTTCAATCTAAGCACAAAACTATTAATCAATAAATAAGTGCATTTCTTTAATAGAATAACTTTTTCATTGGTAAATGCAAAACCTAAAAAGGGGACAATACTTAGTACATTTAATAAACTGAAAAACTCTGTAGGCAAGTTCTAACAACGTTAATAAGTTGTGAGAAAGTACCTCGAAACTGCTTACAACATAAATCTTATTTACATAAAATAAAAGGTAATTCCAAAGCTAATCTAGATCAATTCAAATGCAGGAGGGACCCAGAAACCTCCAAGACTAAAGTCATGTCATGCAGGTATTTATGCAGTCAATCACAACTTTTTGTTAGTTTGGACTGGTTTCATGCAGCATAAACAAAAGTTCAAAGGGATAATTGCATACTTCTTGTTGTATCATTAATCTACAGGTAACAGAGTTTTGTCACGTCGCTATACTGTACAGGTAAGTGTCTGCATCTAAAGTTTTAGGATTATTGTCAGTTGCAACTACTGTGCTAGCCAGACAAGTTTGGATAGCCCTTATGGAAGCCATTATTAATGTTTAAAACTGAATCAATGGCATGCTGCTTTTGAGTACTGTTCAGTAGTTTCCACTACCATAGATACTTAAATTCCACATTCAACAAAACAGTGAAGACACTTGTAGCATGCCAATATTACAGATGCAGTACAAGGCTGTAAATGATCTTGCAATAGAGAACCTACAAAATGGAGCCCCCACTATTGTCTGCCTCCCATCATTTGAGAGCAAATGAGTTTGAAGCACTCAAATGTAACTTTTTAAAGCTTTTTTAAAAATAAAACTCAAGTACACAGGAGATTACATTTGTTTTGAATTAATTTGATTGGCCTGCGATGTGTTAATCACCAGACAATAAAGATCTAAATCAGGATGTGAAAGCTATGCTCCAAAAAAGGTTGCTCTCTTCCCATCCCCCACTTGAAAGTAATTCAAATCAGCAGCGTAACCCAACTTTTGTAGTTGATCCAGTCCTCACCCATCAGAATGACACTTCCAAAAACAAAAGCAGGAAGCCTGGCCTATTCAGCACCCCCTATTCCAGGCCTCTGAGGTCAGCCCCACCCAGGAGACTTGAGTGATTATTCCTGCACTCTTCCCAATATCCATGAGTCTGTATACACAATGCAGCGTATTAGCTAACCAAGGCATCTCCAAAAATTTAAAACGTCACACCCTGTACACAGTTGTACCAAGTCACCTTGAAATTATTTTAAAAACAGTTATTCAAATCAATTTGCATTTAGGCTAAATAAATTTGAAAATGCAACTTTAACATAAAATCTGGAATCCCTACAATGCAGCAACAGACCATTTGGCCCATCTAATCTGCGCCAACCCTCCAAAGAGCTTCCCAGCCTATTCCCAAAACCCCACATTTACCATGAATAATCTACCTGGCCTGCACATCCCTGGACACTACGGGTCAATTCCGCATGACTAATCCACCTAACCTGCACATCTTTGGCCTCTCTAACTGCATAAAAAGTGTAATCAGTGAAAAGTAAGCTGAAAATTTGCAATTCAAGAATACTGCATGGACACACAAGGCACTATGGCCTACAAGACCATTTGTTTCACAGTCAAACTGAAAGTACTGCTGAGGAAGGGTCACCGAACACAAAACATTAACTCTGTTTTCTCCTTCACAGATGCTGCCAGACCTGCTGAGCTTTTCCAGCAACTTTGTTTTTGTTCCTGATTTATAGCATCCGCGGTTCTTTTGGTTTTTGAAAGCACTGCTTACTGAGTTTAGATGGAAATAAGACTGGACAAAAAGCTGCACTTAACATCACAATCAAAATTAAACGTACTTTAGACAATATTTACAACTTCTTCATGCTTATTTCTACAAATAGGAAACTTTCAAAACAGAACTAAGAAGTGTACCTGCTATACTGGACTTTGATGCGTCCATTGGAGTGAATCCTTTGTCCATTCTTCAGCCAGCTAATTTTAGGTGTAGGAATACCTTCTGCCTGACACATAAACCTGGCTGTACCAGCACGTGGCCGTGTCAGGCTTTCAGGCCACTCAACAAAGGAAGGTGGGGCTAGATTGGAACATTGGAAAACACCTAGTAAGGTTTTATTCTTGTTTCACACTAAATTTCATACATCTTACCTAATAAAAAAGCTGAACTTAAACAAGAATAATCCACAAAAAAAAGAGAGAAAAATCCATATTGTGAAGTGCACCCTCAGTGGCAAAGCCAAGCACACCTTCAGTGGAAGTCCAACTCCTATAGTGAAAGAACTTCTCAGGTCATACAGAATGAAAAATTATATTTGAAAAAACCGAAGGCAATATACAGTTTCAATTCATTTGAAGCAGCTGTGTTGTCTACTTTTGGTGAGAGGGGGCAATGCTGATATTAACTCTGCCATTACGAGTGATTTTGTGCATCATGATGGATGAGCTGCTGCAAGACACCGTGATAGCTTCATAACAATGTTTATACACACAAACACTAACTTCTCTGGCCCTCTAAAAAGGTATGTTAATTAAAACAAATGACTGTCATCTTATTATAAATTCAAAGCACCAAGATTTTTTCAACATTCTTTGCCTTGGGAGTATAAACAAGACCAGTCCTAAGGAATGGAATAAAACTTTCCTGACTGCCTCTGCAACATTACTAAGCACTTTGGCACACAGTACAGTTCTTAACGAATGTGGTCGCCCACAAGAACTCATTTTAAATAGGCAATTGTTAGTTGTACAACCCAGTGGCCGCAGGATGGCTGGTGCAAAGAATGAAAATCTTACACGAATGCAACAGGGATGCTCTTTAGTCTAAAAAATGTGTCAGCCCTGACCTATCTACAGATTAACTTTATTGAGTATCTGATGATCTTTTATTAAATCTGGAAGCACTGATGCTATTTTCCTAAATTTAGGTAAACATGTCATCTTGCAGCACTAAGAACTCCTCACATTGATAATAGTCATTAGTCAAATAAAGCTGAAAATGGTTTAAGCTTGTCTATTTACATCGTGCAAATTGGACACACAAGATGAGCAACAGGGGATGAAAAGGAATCCCTAAATGCAGACCTATGTTCAATGCAAGAGAAAAATCAGTCATGGAGTCTGTTTAAAATATGTACTTCTGTTCTTTCTTTCTTGTCTTTTTATAAAGAAAATTACTTTGATTACCAACTAAACCATTTACAAGAACCAAGGTATGTCAGTATATTCAATTAGCCATTTTCCCATTGCTCACCTATCTCTTACAGAAAATCTAGTATGTTCATTTACATTCTTTTGGCTGATTAACTTCTAAAACTTTCACTCTTCACATAAATTAGTGTAAACAAAATCTCGGTTATTTGTCAGTTAGGTTGGCAACACCTGACGTTGTCAACCTGACCATATAATCTAGGCATTATTAATAAAAAGAGAGCAAGTGCGAGAACGCACGCCATTGGAATCATTCTTCAGGTTTTCTAATGGATGCTAAAGTGTACCTTTGCAAAGGAAGTCTAGAGGAACTGGTTTGTGTCAAGGTTTGTCCCGAGCAGCTCTGTGACACAGGACTCTGCTGTATGGCTGTTCCCCAGGACACACACCACGACAAACATCCATTGCGTCTGGATGACCAGTAACTCAGTGAAAGGCACTCTTTGGTCTGCCTGAAACTTGTTGGTCTTCCAGAACAAGAAGCTAACCCCAAGTGGGTTGCAGACTGGCACATTCTAAAGTCCAGGACTACGTGCTGAGGGATGCACTAAAGCTTGGGGCAGCTGTTGCCAAGGCGCAGTGAGGAAAGACCACTGTCTGAGGTCTTCCTGCTGAAGGTAAATGGGAGTCCATTCAGTTATCAGGCCCTCCTAGTACCTCATATATATTAGTTTGTATGTGTAAGAGGTGCCTGTAGTCTTTTGGATAGGGTCAAAGTCCAATGTTTTATTTAGTTACTTGACATGCAACTGTAGAGAACCAAACCGCGTTTGTGACAATGTATATGTACAAAGAGATTTATGAATAAAGTATATTTTTGACATAAAAAAAATCCATGATGCCATTCAAAGGGATACAGTGCACCATTCTTGGTCATCATTCCTTCCTCAAAAGGAGGACACTGAAATTGAGAGATTAAGTGAACATGCATCCATAATAGTCATTAGTTAAATAAAGCTGAAAATCGTTTAAGCTTGTCTATTTACACCTTGTAAGTCAGACACACAAGATGAGCAACAGGGGATGAAATGGAATCCCTAAATGACAAACCTACGTTCAATGTAAGAAAAAAAAAATCAGCCATGGAGTCTGTTTAAAATATGTACTTCTGTTCTTTTTTTAAAAAGAACATTACTCCAATTACAAACTAAACCTTTTACAAGAACCAAGCTACGGCTGTATATTCAATTAGTCATTGTCTATACTTGGATATTCCTGCGTTCACCATCTTCTATCTCCAATACTGCAATGTCTTTACATAGTAAGTCCTATACAGTAAAATCCCAAGATTTATAGGACTGCCAATAATAATTAATACCAGGGCACAAGGAAATAGAGGACCAAAATGTAATGTCAAAGATGAAATGGAAGGAGACAGGCAGAGAAATTTAATGAGGGAATCCAAAGTGTTTAGGGCCTTGGCAGCTGAAAGCATGGAAAGCAAGCCAGTGATGGAGAAATCAAAAATCAAAAAGGCCACAAAACAGTAGCACAAATATTTCAGAGGGTAGGAGATTAGAGTCAGGGAGGGGGGCAAGGCCATTGCATAATTTAAAAACTAGAGTAAAAGTGTTTTACATCATTATGCACTTCTCTAGGAGCCAATTAAGTCAGTAAGTATAGGAATGATAGGTGAAAGGATTTAGTAATAATGTCAGCATTTCAAAAAATTTCACTGTATACCAAGCACTTGGGTTATTTCTGAAAGACATGTTGAATGCTATACAATATCTTTATAACTTGATTTTACTTACATAAAGCATCAACAAACTGCATCAACAAATTGAAAGATTAAGTGAACATGCATCCATAATAGTCATTAGTTAAATAAAGCTGAAAATAAGATACTTGCATCCGAAGATACTGCACATACGGGCAGCACAGACGTGAGAACATGGTCAGACAATGCCCCTGACCACAACTTCTGTTACTGAAGTTGATGGCTCCAAGGAGCCAAACTGTACTAGCTACTGTGATTGCACATTGATTCTGGTTAGCTTACCCAACACAGTAAGCATTGCTGTGGCTACAGTGTAATTGCGCGTGCCCGGTGTGGTGGCCCGACAAACATATATTCCAGCGTGCTCCACCTTCACATCGGATATCATCAAATTCCCATTCCCCAGAACTCGCGTATTGAAGACATCAATAGATCGGTGATCTGTTTGGAAAAAGATATTTATATCAAATCACTAAAACCAGGTCAACATCGGAGAAATTAATTCAAGCTATTAAATGGGGTAAATGTTATAACATATTTCTTCATAAAATGCTTGGCATTAAAGAAAAATGAAACATTTATCATTTAATAATGCTGAGAATAATACTTCTAAGTAGATAGACAAGAACGTTGCAGTATTTAAAATTGTCTGCTATGTTGAACTATTGATTTATAACGCCAAGTATATAAACTGCAAAGAATAGTAAGAGGAATCAAAAGAAGTGTACAGCTCACCTAAACGACTCCAGGAAACAAGAGGCTTTGGTGAACCAATGGCTACACATTCCAGCATGGCAGTGTGATGCACAGGTACTGTGAGATTTTGGGGACCTGCTACAATCACTGGCTTCTGCAATGTTTTTGGCTTCCAAGCTACTAAAGGAAAACAAATTGTCAGTGGAAATAATTGATAAATGAAGGCTATTACAATATGGTTCAATATAGCATGAATTCTTTAATGATGCAGAGAGTCTCAGTTCAGATATATATCTTCATTTAACAAGTTAGGATAGGATAATTAATTTTCTTATTTATATGCTCTAACGGTGACCCAGTTTTAGTTTTGGACCCCAACATCTGTGTTTATAATGGTCCTCCACTGTAATTAGTGTAGAACACAAAAAAAGTCTAACAACTAACAAAACCAATCAAGAATGAAATTAAAGTGCTGTTTAGTCTATAGGAATAATGTTAACAAAATAAAGTAATAAAGAGATAACAAGGTGTAGAGCTGGATGAACACAGCAGGCCAAGCAGCATCATAGGAGCAGGAAGGCTGATGTTTCGGGCCTAGAAGAAGGGACAGGCCCGAAACGTCAGCATTTTTGCTCCTATGATGCTGCTTGGCCTG